TTCATGTCGTAAGATAACCTTCATTAATCATGAATTTACATAACTTTCGTTCTGGGGATGGGTGGTCCAGTTAGATTGAAATATGTTGTGAATGAACATAGGGTTCTGCATTGATTTTGTTCCTAGATTAATTTTAACAAATTCGTTGAACTTATATCATTACCAGGGTGATGATAAATATGTTTTTACTGGTTCTATATGGTTTCCAGCAAGAAAAATATATTACATTATACTTGTGCGCAGCATGCTGGTACTGATGAGGCCTTTCGATCAATACCAGAACTCATCAGATCGCTGGGCATGCAAAGCAAAAAGCCTTATTTGAAACGGTAATTACACCAGTCATTTATAAACTATAAATTATTATGATATATAACAAACAGCATAAATAGCGTTTCAACAATAAATAGATATATAAACGATTAATTAAAAACTTTTGCTGCTTTTACAAATATGTTAGATTTAGGTGAAGCAATGAATTTTCAGATATTTCGTTGCACACTTATTTGTTACGTGCCTTGAGTTAATAGTATGTTTTCTTTGGTTCTCGCGTTATTATTTTCTTATGAAAATTATGTGTTTTGACGAAAAGTTTTTTTCCAGAAAAATTTGAATTAAAGAAATAGAATTAATCGTTATTAATTTATCTAATCTCATTTTTTATTAGTATCATTAATAACAGGGATATTTTTATGACTGATGCGTCATAAATACGGATAATGTTTATAATATCAAAAGATGTGCAGAAGAAATGTTACTTTATAAACACTAAAAATAAAGACAAGTAGTATGAAATGATCTGATACAACCCTTCTTTTCATACAGGAACAACTGAACAAGCTGATGACCACCTTAAGGTCAACTCAACCTCACTTTGTGCGTTGTATCATCCCCAATGAAACTAAATCTCCAGGTAGAAACCCGAAAAGATAACATGGATATAGTTTTAATGTAGAAAATATTGTTGTATTTTAGTAACCTTTTAGTTACACTTCAGTCGGTCTATATCCTGTCTTCCTTCTTTATGAAAAGAATGAAGTACTGATTAGTTTGAAGCTTCTCAATAGTTTGCAACTTTAATGAATATGTTAAAGATGAATATTGAAATATTTCTTTGTACATTTATGAGTACTGTGTGCACAGCGGCATGTCTGCGGACATACAACGCTAGAAACCGGGTTTCGATACCCGTGATGGGCAGAGCACAGATAACCCATTGTGTAGCTTTGTGCATAACTTAAAACAAACAAACAAACCCCCAGTGGCTCAGCTGTAAGTCAGAAGGCTTATAACGCTAAAAACCGGGTTTCGATGCTCGTGGAAGGCACATCCCAGATAGCTCATCGTGCTCTGTGCTTAACTACATACAAACAAAGAAACAGTACTGTGATTTGAGATAACAATGTATTTTTTCTTTGGCTATCACATTTTCATTTTTCATGAAAATATCAGCGGTGTCTGATTTCGCTAGCAAATATAACCTATATCCTATAAAACTCTTCAAACTTACGCCTGAAATAAGAGTTGCAGTGCTACGTTAAACAGAAATTAGGAATAACCTTATCCCGAACCTTTCTTCTTAGATAAAACCGTGAGTTCAAAGTCCTGAAAATAAACATTATTAAGTAATTTATTTCTTCTTCTCTATTTATGAACACGTTGTAAAAACAGCACTTAGATAAATCCAGGTGGAATAATCGGTAAATAAAAATTGAAGGGCTTTATTCCTTCTCTAAGTCTTAGAATAGTCAGTAGATGTTATTCTAAATCCTAATGCTGCAGGTATTTCTCGTGATTAACATTCAGAGTTAACTAATCGCTTGTTTTTGGTAGAATGTAATTAGGTAATAGGAGTTTGAACACTCATACGTGAGTGCTAGTTTGGCTGCTAAATGTTACTTTTCTGTTATGAGCATAACAAAATTTCCTTCCCCTATTGAAAGTATTAAAGTTACTGAAGATCTTCCTGTTAACTTGTTTCCTCTACTTCAAAATTAGACACGGTTCTAGCGCAAATAACCCTAGCGAAATTCAACAAACAAAAGTCGTTCTTAATGAAAGTAAAGTGGATAGGATTAATTTTCTTAAGACTTGAATTTCTTAGGAGAAGCTATAACGTGATCTTTCTTTAGAAAGCAATACTCTCGGTCTGAAATAGTAACTATGCAGAATTTTAACCTTGATATTCCGGCTGTTAAATGCAGTAACTACGATAACTTCTCTGCAGGGGCGGCAGTAATGAGGTGGGCTTATTTGGGCTGAAGCTATCCCAACATGTGTCTTAGCCTCCGTCTAGCTCCCGCACCCAACGATTTTTTTTTTTCGAAACCACCTCAGACCCATCATCGTGAAGAGGTTGACGCCGCTATTGTTTTTCTGTCTGATGTAATTCTCTTGATAGTCTACCTAGGAGGGAATATAGTAACTACTGAATCGTATATTCTCGATGTAGTAGTCATTAAGTATGATAGTTTAATGATCAGATGTAATAAAATAAGTAATGGAGAACATAATGTTAACAGATCCTTTTTCGAAATTCGTTATTTTTGGTGACGCAGTATTTTTTTTCAAGGATCTTCACATAAGACTAGAAGTGTGATTCCTTATAAATTTCTTCATTGTTTACATGATTTGATTCAGTAACTGAGCATCATGACCACATTAAGCTTCTTTCTGTGATAACTATGTTCCTAGAACTACGCAGGTATAGTTTCCTCATGTCAGAAAACAAGCGTACATATGGTAAACAGTTTCATTTCTATATAATGTCTCAGGTGTTCAACTTTACCTCTGTTTACGAGGTGTAGATCAAACTCACTTCTTGTGGGTTGCGTGGGTTTTCTTGATATAATGCTCTTTATAAAACTTTCGAAATTGAGGAGCTCGCTGATGAACATTGTTCGATCCAAGTTTCTTCGTTTGTTCGTTTGAGGTTAAGCACAAAGCTGCACAATGGGCTATCTGTGTTCTGCCCACGTTGGATATCGAAACCCGATTTTTAGCGTTTTAAGCACTCTGATCCACCGGGGGATAAAGTTTCTTATTCCCTCATTTTGTAATACACTTTGGTTTCAGAATAATATTATGCCTTCTTTTGAACACTTTTATTATATAGCTGATGTGTCTCAAATCTATTATTTATGCATAGATATCCATTTATTCGAAATTTAGAAAAATGCCAATTTTACATAACGTCAAGAGATTCCTGCCGTTTGTTTTTGAATCAATTTTTTTCAGATCCAGATATTTTCAGGCTTTAAAATTAGATTTTACAGTCTAACCCTTGACTTTGTAACCTAATCTTTGTTCTCATGAAGAAAACGTTTCTGTCCGTGATTTTAGGTGTAATCGATTCTCATTTGGTGATGCACCAGCTCACGTGTAATGGTGTACTAGAAGGTATTCGTATCTGTCGTAAAGGTTTTCCTAACAGGATGGTGTATCCTGACTTCAAACACAGGTAAATCGGTTGTATATATACATTTCTTTCTCTGTAGTTTATGTTCAGATTTTACTGACTACAAAAGTTTAAATTTTAGACTCGTTAGATATTTGATTTTAATTATAGATCATGATATAGGTAAGTATTCAGCATGATTACAGTAGCAGGTATAATGTCATTATTGTCTTACTTAATTTTTAATTTAAAAATTGCGTTTTCTTTCGTGAATTGGATATTATTAAATATTGAATAAATAATTTTCTTATTTTTTATATTTTCTGTTTCATTCCTCCAGAAAATATTTTTTCAGAGGTAATTGCAGCAAAAAGGAGAATATTATTAAAATATTACAAGACACTAAGATGTGTTGTAAGAATAATAAGTATTCAGAAAATATTATTTTTACTTCATATTATCTGTAGGAGTATTATTGTAGTTTTTGGAATTAATCTACATGACTGCCATAAATGTGGGTATTGAGAATTACCACCAAACTTTATGTATGCATATATATTGGTTGTTTATTTTAACAGTAAACAAAAAGAGATTTGTCTATTTTGTATTTTTATTTACATATAAAAATGTTGCTTATTTTATTCGAAAGCTTCTCCTCTTCAGTCTGACATTCACATCTGATTTTAGATACACAATTCTGGCCCCCAATGCTGTACCCAAGGGTTTTATTGATGCTAGGCAAGCCACAGAAAAGATTGTCGATGCTATCCAGCTCGAAGCAAATGATTTTCGTTTGGGTCACACAAAGGCATGTAAATATTTCTCGCATCAGTGTAAAATCGTTCTGTATCCTTTCTCTTCCTCTACCTTCCACCCCTTTCTTACCAAGACTGTTGTGTCACCAAAACACTCACTGTTCATCAAATACCTATCCTTCACTTCTTCAGTCCTTGTATATCCTTCCCATCCCCATTACTCGACAAATGTAAAACAAAAAACGAAAAAAAAAATCTGTTATCCCATTCACCCTTTTCCTACTTCGTTCCTACCCCTCGTTTTATTACCAAATAATTACACGTAAGTCCGACCAAGCTTTAAGTACTTCCTCTGAAACGGTAAGATTTTTCTATTATATTAAGTCACGGCTCATACAGTTGCAACGAAATAATTTTTTCACAACTTCAAACTTCTGTCTGTCTCTCAATCCTGCACGTTTGCAAGTTTAGTGAAAGCGTTTGTTGCAACCATTAACAACATATCAGTGTGTTCATCTAAAGCGGCTATCCATTATTTGACGTATACTTTAAGGTCAATCAAGCCTGACGTATACCAGTGTCCACCTCGATCTGCAGAAACATTCCATGAGTTTTTATCTTTAATTAGTTCTGTCTAAATAATATCGATGCGTAACTGTTTTCGGGTATGATCTGTATATTGTACCTACTGAAAATACCACAGAATAACATTTTTATTCTACATTATCCCATAGAACTTGTCTTATTGAATAGAGATACGTGGTCTTTCATGTCTTGTTGATCGTCCTCTTTAGTTTGATTATACCAAAAAGCATAGCCCATGAAACTTTGTTTTAAAAGACCTGCTGGAGACACTTTGCTCTCGTGAGTTTGTTTGTTGTTAAGTGCAAAACTACATAGTAAGCACGCTGTGCCTACTTTATGATTGGTATGCATATAAGTCTCTGAAATATATAGCGCTCATTTCTTTTTTGTTAGTCTTCATAAATACTTAAAAATTTGAAAGCTAAAAAATTTCTTTACGAGATTTAGTAAAGAAAAACCTAACATTTAACACATTTTACATTATAACTTAAATATCTTTCTGTGTATCTCCATGAAACTAAGGGAAACGTCCGTTATATTTTCTCTCTTTTTATACCTTATTAGCAGTCCTACCAATATCAGTCAGTGTAATGTTATCCTTTTGTCTTCAAATAAATTACACATGTTGAATCTTTACCCATCCTTGTGACCATCATCCTTTTCTTAGATACGCCATCTTGAATCCCAGTGGCATTCGCAAAGGATTTCTCGATGCTAAAAATGCAACGGAAAAAATTTTGGAAACAATTCAAGTTGATCCAGCCGAATTTCGATATGGTTACACCAAGGCATGTACAACATAAATAAAAAATGCAATCAATAATTTGCACGCTTTGCCCTAACTACAGCATTTCATTTAGTATTTAATGCACATTAAATATTTATTTTTATTTATGTATTTAAATATGTCTATTTGATGTTCATGATTATCCTCTGCTTCTTAACAAACGCTTCACATTTTCTGTAAGATTTAGCTTAATTATTTTGTAGTCCCTACTTGTGCCAAACACATTTTTTTTATCCTCTGTTTTGACCAAAACCTTGCTTTTTTCTGTAAGTTATACCTAATTTGTGGCATCCTTCCCACTAATTCCAAGGTAAGTTATGCGAGATCCTGTTTCTAATGATGACAACTAAAGATTTCTGCACATTGGGCTCTTACTGCTTTTGCTCAGTGATGTGTATGCTTTACAAGTGAGTATCACATTTTTTTTTTTAGGTAATCCTCTTTCAAATTTTTTTCAGCACCAATTTATTTTTAATTGGGTTAAATCATTTTATAAAATCATTGAAATGAAACCAAAATTTATTTACTCCATTTTCTTTGTAAATATATTGTATACACTTCAAGTTTTTCTGCAATATCGAACTTAGTTTCAGTAGAAAGAACCTTTAAAAGCTTTGTGAAAACTAGAAGAATCTTGAAAGAGCTAATCACTTGCAGGACCTTATGAATTATTTGATTTTAAAACATTAACATAAACACTTATGCTTAAAAAATATGAATATGTTTAATGGACTAGCAAGCAGGTTTCTGTTTAGGACTTGACACGACTTCAGACAAAATTATATTTTTGTCGTTTAGTTATCCCGTCCCTTGTAAGTCGATCTTTGATATATTATAATTTTAAAAAATACTACATACCTAATCAGGTATTCTTCCGTGCCGGAGTTCTGGGGAGATTAGAAGAGATGAGAGATGAACGTCTTGGCAAAATCATCACTTGGCTGCAGTCGTGGATCAGGTGGTACCAGTGCAAGAGGGAGTTTAAAAAGCTGCAGGAACAAAGGTACGTTTTTTCCCTATCTACTTTTTCTGGGGGATAACAGATGTACCCTATCCCTTATTTATGTTTTTATCTATTGTTTCTGTGGGATAACAAAGATTCCTTATTTTTATTTATATTTTTATCTACTGTTTATATGGGATAAGAAAGGTACCGTTTTCTTTATTCATGTTTTTATCTACTGTCTATGTCAATGACAAAGATACCGTATCCTTTATTCATGTTTTTGTCTGTTGTTTATGTGAGATAACAAAGGTACCGTATCCTTTATTCACGTTTTTGTCTGTTGTTTATGTGAGATAACAAAGGTACCGTATCCTTTATTCACGTTTTTGTCTGTTGTTTATGTGAGATAACAAAGGTACCATATCCTTTATTCACGTTTTTGTCTGTTGTGAATATGGCATAACAAAGGCTACTGTATAATTTGTGCTGAGAAATTTCAATATTCGGGCAAACATTATATCATAAAAGCAATAGTTATTTTATTCTGTTTAGAAATAAAATATTTTTCATTAACTCGAATAGTTTTTTATAGAATAGAAACCAGAACATTTCTTATAAGAATGAGTCGCTAAATTAACGTGTGGTACCTTCTTTTGCTATTGTAGTGAATTGTTTTGTTTGCTGGCCTATATTATTTCCTGCCATAGAGTCCTTATATAGTTTCTTACCTAACAATAGTGTTACTGAAAATGACATCTAATAACAAAGGTAAACAAGGACCTGAAGAGCTGATACAATTGTTCAAACTTTTCTGAATATCAGGTCATGGCTCATATTTAGAACAGCAAACTTTCGAAACCCAGTATTATTATTAACTAGCATATAGCCCGTCAAAAATGACGAAGCAAGTACTACTACCCCCCCCCCATAGTATACACTAGCCTCACATTTCATAGCTAACTGAATAAA